TAGCTGAATGATATTTTATTAATTTGAATTTGAAATTAAATGATGGTATTTTTATACTGTGATGATACATGGAAAATAATGTGCAATGAGGGCTTCCGATACGTTTACAAATGCAATTGAAGGTGAGATTAACTATGGTAAAACCCTAGTTTTTTTTTATATATATACACAAACCTTGTCTTGTCACATTCCAATGAAATATTTGAGATAATATTAGAGGATTGCTTTTTAAATATTTTTTATTTTTAAAATATATTAAAATAATATTTTTAACATAACATTTTAAAATGATAAAAAAAATACAATAAAAAAACTAATTTAAAAAAAAATCAAAACCGCAGCGCAAACACCATCAAAACACACTCTCAGCGGGTCAACAGGTCAAACTTTCAACTTTCGGAGTAGGGATTAACTATGCAACAAAGCATGGTCTTAGTTTTGACTTTCGGCGGGTTTTTTTATTATTTTTTGTTTTTGCATTTATGTGTTTTTTTCGAGGTAGTTTTAAACAAGACATAACCATTACTTCAGCCCCGAACATAGCCCTTCATTCGGCCGCTCGTATGCATGCATTATTTCAATCATTTTATTTATTTTTCAATGATGAAGTAATTACTGGGTGCATTATAAAAAGAAAACAAAGTAATTGTTAAGGGAAGAGTATATTATATTTTTTAGAATTAATTAAAAAAATAATAAATGTATGTGTTGTGAAAAAAGTATGTTTGTGTGTGTGTGAAAGAATAGAAGTTTTTTAATTGGAATCGGACTTTTAGGAGAATTCAACACTCGTTAATAACTTGCATGGAATAATAATTGCAATCAGACTTCATCATTAATCGAGAAAGATATACTATAAGTGGTTTATTTATTGGTTTGGTGGAAATAATAAATTTAAAATAATATTTGAAAATTCTTAGAATTTTGGTAGATAAATTTAAAGTTATTTAAGGGTTTATCACCTAAAAATTTAATATTTTCTGATTTTGAATAAATTTTTAAATGTTTAAATTATCGTAAACTACAAGTCGTTCCTTTATCCGATTTCTATCATAATCCAATAAACCATCAATAAAAAATTTCTAAATTCTTATTTATGAAAGAGAGATTACTATGCCTAAAGTGTTAATTTTTTATTTTGTGACTTACATGATTTTTTTTCTACCAGATAATATTTAAAAAATTAAAAGGCATGACTTTATATTTACAATGAATCATAAAAACCCTATAAATAGCAAAATATTTATTTAAGGATAATGTTAGAAATTTAATCAATTAGTTTCCCACTTAATTATTTTATGACTAGAAACTTTAATCAACTAATTTCCTACTTGATTATTTTAGGACTAGAATTATAATATCGGAATTAAATACATTTTAGTGCTTAACTTCTAAAATTATTTTTAATCAAATTATATTTCATTAATTATCACAGTTTAATTTTTGACTAATAGTTTTTAACTTGCATGACCCCTTAGGTTCTTATTATGTTGGCTCAAATACAAATTATAATTTTATATAAATAGAATTAAATCAATTAAACAATTTAATTCATCATCAATTTAATAATTTAATAATTTATATTTAAAGATCAAATATACTATTTGGTAACTTATCATGACTCCCTAAATATTATGAAAGTTATAGGTGGTTTGATATAACATTTCAATGATTGATTTTTTAATGTAAATATTATCCTTCCATCAACAATATTTTAATTTAAATATATTAGCATGAAGTATGCATGTCATGTCAAATTATATATGTTCGTAATATTATAGTCATTGGTCATTTGAATAAGATCTAAAACTCTTTTCAAATTTCATTCTACCTTGCACAAAAATTTAACAATCAATATTATTTAATAAAATATAAAATATATTTTTAATTCATATAAGGTGACGATTCCTCTTGTAGTTTATGTTGCATTCAATGGTTGTCACTTTAATATCTTTATCAAAATAACATATAATATGATCAAAACATAACATTTTTTGTATAAAGATAACTTAGTAGTCTCAAGTCTAAAAAAATCACTTATACAACTATCATGTGAACCTTTCTATAAACATAAATGATGTCTCCATATAAAATTTTTACGTGGGTCAGTTCAACGTACATGTCTTATAACAAGCATTCATATATTAGTTTTAAATATTTCTTATATCTCAGTTTATGAAAGCAATTACTTCCTTATGTGTGTGTGTGTGTGTGTAGTCTTCACGGTATAATGAATATCTGGTATTTAAAAGAATATTGACTAGGAGTATTTTCATGAAAAATATTTTTATATAATAAGAATTTCATAATTATAATAACTTTATATATATTTTTATAAAATATTTTTATCTCATGAACTTTATCTTTATTTTAAATTTATAAATTAAATATTAAATCCATCAATCTAATATAATATTAATATTAAATATAAATTATTATTTTATTAATAATAAATATATATTTATATAAATATAATAATAATACGTGCAACCAACTAAATGAGTATAAATGTATTAAACTAGCATAAATTTTAGCATGTTTTGAAGTGTGGTTACGTTTGCTTTTCAAAGTGTTTTTTATTTAAAAATATATTAAAATAATATTTTTTTATTTTAAAAAAATTATTTTTAAAATTATCGCATTAAAACGATATAAAAATATTAAAAATATATTAATTTAAAATAAAAAAAAAATTATTTTTTAAAATTATTTTTAAAACATAAAAATAAATAGTATTTTCGTTATGATAGCCCGCTCGTAAAGGGAAGGTCATGCCAGTAACCTTCAAAATTTAATGCTAAGCATTAACAATTCAAAATGCTGGTAAGCATGTATGGAGTCGAGGGGGTTCCACACGGAAATGGAGCTCAACACGTATCCACGCTGATGGAGCCAGGTATGGAGACAGATTTTTATCCACAAAGGCAAGTGTAGCTGTAGTGTGTGATTTGGGTCGTGGTATATAATATTTTTTAAAAATATTTTTTTTATTTAAAAATATATTAAAATATTTATTTTTATCCTGACTATCCATAATATTGAAAAATATCAATTTTATATTTTTTAAAAAACACGTATTAAATAAAAGATCGCGCAAGTCAGAAGTAAGCTTCATGAAACGAGCCCTTATTTTAATGAAATATGGAACATTTTAGCTCCATACTATCATCAATCAATTTTACATATTGTATTTTTTATTTAGATTATATATTAGGGTGTTTTTTTTTTTTTTTACATATAATTGTATTTTACATATTAGATTGATAGATTATATATTAGGGTGTTTTTTTTTTCCTGATTGTAGACGGGAGATATAAAGATTTAAAATTTACTTCAATGAATATAAAAGTTCCGCGGACATGGATATGAAAGATGTGTCCTCTGCTTGAGCTGACCTCCATCGCCATGCCAACACTCGTCCATTGTCATCCTAGATCGGCTAGTTGGTCGCGTCCTGCAGCGGGTAACGGGTAATGTTGTAGTTTTCTTATATTTTGCATGCTAGTCTATACGAAAATCTGAGATTTCAACACGTAGTGTTGTTAGGCAACCTAAAGCATGATTACATGCTTAATACATGTAGCCTAGGCAAATTATTACATAGCTCATAACCACACCAGCTAATCCACACAGTTCAACCAACCCTGTCCTCCGCACTAACAACAAATTAACACCATAAAACACTGGACCATCCTAACATGCAGACTGCTTTAATGGTGGCTATGGTGGCCGGGCAATTTTCCCTTGATTTTTTCGATCACACTTTTCTTCTCCTGTTCCTGGTACTGTTCTCCAGCAGGACCTGTGGTAGTGGTGGGAACGTCAACAGTATGTCCATGCTCTTCCCTGTGCTTCCCGCCAGTTAATTTCTCCTTTATTTTCTGTTTCAGTCCCTTCTTCTTCTTCTTCCTTCTCCCTCCTTGCCCATCGTCCTCAGACTGCAATGTCAAGAGACAGTTAACGATAAAAAAATCCCTTGCGTGCACAAAAGACGTTAGCTTCACAACGTTTTTTAAAGAATCTGCCATTGTTCACTCCTCACCATCACCACATACCCTGAGATTTCCATAATAAATTTTTTAAAAATCTCGATTCATTCAAAATAAGGATTTGGCTGGTGATCAATGTGTGATAATTAGTATTCCGTGTCCTAATTACATAGTTGATTTAAACCGAATATATCTCACCGAGCCAGAGCTTGAAGTAGATGAAGTCTCGTCATGCTCCTCTTTCTTATGTCCCCCCTGATCACCAGCAACCTCGCCATGATGACCCATCTCACGAATGTCACTCTTCATTGCATCTTCACTCCTGGCAGTACTAGACAAATGTCCGGTACCAGGCACCGTATCACCACTTATTATATCGCCAAACGTTGAAGGTTGTTTGGTGGTGGCTACGCCAGCGATGTGCACAGGGTTACCATGTTCATCAGTTAATTTAACTGCGTTGCCATGTTCATCTGTGAGTTGAATTGGATTAGCCAGCTCATCTACTATTGTAGCAGCTATCATTTCTAACCAAAAAACAGGAATTTAAAAAACAGCGACAGTAAGATAAGATTCGATATCGATAGTGAGGATAGAGTTTAAGCTACCTAGGCTGGCCGAATAAAAAGAAAATAAAATGGCGGTGGAGAGCAGACATGGTTCATGCATGTAACCAGCTGTCTACACCTGGTGCTGGTACAAAACAGACATGAAGGGTTTTTGCCACGGTAGCCAAGACAGGAGATGTGTCATTCATATGGGTATAAAGGTTTCAGGATTGACATGATCTCTCCTGTTGATCATAAATACTTTCCGAAATATCCCGAATAATATCCATTGTTAATTGGCACCATTGAGAAAACATTTTTATAATTTGAAAAACATGAATGGATACTTCAAAATAAATATCATCACTCTTAATTAATCTTCAAGGACATTTGAAGCATTCTAAAACAGAAACCAGAAGACAAGTCGCATACTTTCACCATCTAATGAGAAGACCACAACACAGTACCAAATCCCACAAGGAATGATGTTGACTTATTCATGTATGGGTCCATACATTAATCATTAATTTGAATCAATTCATGCGCTGTGTTCCAAGCAAGAAACAAATTAATCTGTACAAAATACAAATACAATCACTAATCTTGTGATACATATTCATTCTACTAATCTTTTCATGATTTACAAGACTTCTATAAATTCCTTTACGTCTTTACAGTATAGCTCCACAAGGAAATCCTGGGAGACAGTTTAAAAAATGTGTCCGCTGATGGAGCAGTTCCAAACCGAATTCCTTAAGGAAGATGTCCCGCGGCCCCCACAATCCTTTTTTTTTTTTTGTTGACAACGCAGAGAAGGTCAGCACTAAAATCTGTACACCCATGAAAGTTGAAGTCCTGTTGAGTTTCAAGCATTGATGATTATTGTACCCATATAAAAAAAAGCAGCTTTTGCTTATTTTAGAAAGTTTCCATTCAATCTATATATTCACAAACACATCTAGCTAAACACATCATGCTTTCAAGCACTAAAGTTCGGAAGAAACAAGGTTCTTGCAATGACAATTTTGAGTGATTTGTATGCACAAAAGCAATATATACATGAGATGGAAGTACTCACCGCTTCACAGCTGAGAAGAACCTCATCCCCTCAATGATTTTGTCCAGAAGAACCCTTTCTTTCTAGTTGAGTGAGTCTCCGTGGAGGATCTACTCCCTTTGGATCCAAATGAAAAATGTCTCCTCAAGAAAGGCTTCGCCAAGGAGCTTTTCATGCTGGCACTTGAGCCCATCTCGGGACCCTTTCCTTCCTGTCCACCACCTTTTAAGCGATCAAACATGATGGAATCACCATCAAGATCACTATCAACTACTCTGCTCCTCAGTTTCTTGTTTCTAGCCTTCAAATCCGTTTCTGTTTTTAAAGCTTTTTGAGACAGCTTAAAGGCCTGCTTCTCTCCCAAGGTACAAAATGGGCATGCAGGATCATACTTATCAATTTCAGGTGTCAAAGCTTCCAAACACTCAGCATGATAAGCATGACCACAAGTTAAGACAGCAACAACGGAGAGCTCATTACTAGCAATAAGCTTCTGGCTGCTCCACAAAGATTTTTCAGTCAATAGCTTCAAGCAGATCCCACATGTTTGAAGATCAACCGAAGGAAAAGATGAGTTTTGACCACTGGATCTTGTTTTCTTATGATTAAAGCCCAAGCACTCGTTATCAGAAGACCACCTTTCTCTATTAGAAGTGGCCGTCAGCTCAGAAAATGCATGCATAGACCAACCATCTGAAGACTCGCCATGGCATCCCCGAGTTGATCCATTGCTCCCTGAAGGAATAGGAGGCCTCTCATCAGAAACTGGGATGCTCTTTGATGACTTCAATCCAGGGATTAGCGCATCAGATACTGGCTTTGTTAGTTGATGTCTAGAAGAATGCTGGAGCCACCTTGGTGTTGAGCTTGCAGGATGTAGGTGACCTTGGGATGGAAGCGGAGATGTTGACAAGGATGAAGATGAGGGCAATGAAAGCGAGGATTTTGCAGGAGATAGTTTCAGAACTGCAGTGGATTCTGTTGACTCCTCCACCTGTAAAATGAACAGATTTGGCAAGAAAGTCATATGAAGGAGAACAGATGAAGTCAATCATAGAGCAAACGTGGATGTTCCTTCCATGAAAAGAAAAACCCTACCTGTTCCAAACTCATGTCCATTGAGATATTCCTCGGGATGGATTGATCTGCAATAAGAGTGTAAATGATCTCAGATGCAGTGCATATCAGCACGTGAGGTCAAAACCCGCACAATGAATGGATTTATTAGTAGGCGGTACATGTGCACCGTGAATAGATTAATTAGGAGGATTTTATCAAATGTTCAGTTAGTAAGAATCTTAATGTAAGGACGAGCTGTATCTCATGTTTCATTGCCGTATCATACTTGAAACTAGGAGTACAAATGCCAAAAAAAGAACAAGCAGGAACCATGCAGTATGTGGAAGATTCAAGTTGTCCATAGAAATGTATAGAAACAACAAATCAAGCTCTAGTCGTGATTACAGCCATTATTCTCCCATTTAAAAAGATTAGTCATTATTCTGGGCTACATCTTACAGAAGATATTTAAAGACACATAAGAAGAAAAAAAGAAAGTCCCCGTACTGTGAGGATATAGAACATGGCTTCTTGTAGAAAAAACAAGAAAACAAACAGATAAAAATGGATAAAGAAAGGGTAAGAATGAAGAAGAAAGGTCAGGACAAGAAATGGCACAGAAAAAGTGGTTTGTGAAGGACTGCAAATTTGTTCTTTAAGCAGATCCTCAAGGTCACTCCATGACAATGTAAAACTCCTGTGGTGATATGCAATAATAGCAAAAGAACTGTTTTTCTCAGATATGCATTCAACATTTCCCTTTTGAGCTAAGCATCGCATGGTATCATACACCCTTTATGAGATATGAGATCAATTTAACCATAGACAGAGAACAAACAAGCCTGTAAGCAGACAGTCTATTTATGTAAATATTTTCTGCAAACCTGGTTGAAGAAAGCCCATCTTCAACCATGAAGCATGCCTACCAACGAAAAGGAGAGTACACATTCAGAACAACAACTTGGCTTAAGACAGAAGAAAAAATTCATAATACGCCACAAAGAATATCAACATAAAAACCACAAATATGAAATTTAGGATTTCTTTTTGAAAAATGGGTTGAAAACATGAATGAAGACAGGATGAATAATTCTGCAAAATTCATGTGAAAAGTTTCTAGATAGGAAAGTGCACTTCACAATTCCCCCAAGGCGTCTAAACCTTTCTTACACACAAAATGAAGAAAATAACCTCTACCTTCACAGTGCAGTAATTGCAGATTAATATCTAAAATCATGAAAAACATGCTGCAAATTGAATGTGTAATGAGAAAGATATCTTATTCACCACCAACATCATCATCACAATCACTATTGTCTAACCATCATCACTAACACACAAGCTCTATTACTGGTGGAGGAATACACGTTCATATACTACTTATCAAGGGAAAAGATGGGGTAAAAAAGCAAAGAAAACATGTTCAAATTCTAGCCATAGGATCTGATAATATTGCTTTATAATCTCTAGCAAAATAATCATTCACAGTTCAATTGACAAGCATCATAGAAATGGTTGAATTATGAGAAAAGGATAGGTTCAGAACTTGCTACCTTAAAATGTTGTACAGACAGCTAAAGACACTCTAGCGATTTATTAAAGAAGACCCAAAAGTGAGGGCCCTATTAGTCTCACCCGGAGATTGATCTTGTTAATTAATCATGAAAATAAATCACATGATCATTTCAAGGTTTTTTTTAACAGAATTAGGACCCGGTGGCTTTCAATTATGCGATTATCCAAGAGTTGCAGACAGAAACTATATTCCCATTACTCCATTTCCTCTTTTTAGCTTCGCACTCATACTATTTGAAGCCTTCTATTTTTATTTTATATTTTTTGCATGATAGTATCACTCTATCTCATGGCAGACATTCATTTTATATATGCAACCTCCAAAATGTCAAACAGAAACTTTCTAGCATGTAAGGACTCTCTGCCCTTTACATCTTAAATTTCTACTCCAGAGCCACAATAAGATTATCACGTGCAGACTCTCTCTTGAAACCACAATGTTTAGCCTTTGCAACCTGAAAGTCAAACCAGTCAGAAACAGGTTTCTCTAACATGGAAATTCTTTCCCGAGTGCAGGGAGAGTATGTGATGCTGGATCATATTGTCAGAAATTAGCATATAGAGAAGACCCTCATATACATCTGTAAATTTTACCATTATTGCTAAATTAATCAAAGTGTCTTCAGTATTGAGTTTGCAACCAAGAGGTTGCAAGATCAAAACCTGAGATTACACTTCATACAGAAAAGTTGAAGGGTATGATTGTCTCGGAATCTCATTTCCATAATATCATAACCAGGCAATGAGCTTATTTTGGAGTGTGTGATTGCTAATCTTTGCATAATTTTCCAAAACCCTGAGCACTGCATGAGTCCTGCTTTGGGTATTTATTGTTCCTTGCCACTGATTTTCAGTAATATTGGAGTATATTTTATCTTGAGTTTTGCTTCTCATTTACTGTAATAACTAATAAGGTTCCATCACCAAGTCAAATGAATTCTTCATCCTCATCATCTATAACTATAAGAAACTGAAATAGTTTGATCTCTTCTAAATAGTAAATATGATCAATCACAAGGGCATTGCTTCTACTTTGCAATCCATGCATCGATATGCAATATAAAGCTAATTGCAACAGTATCTTAAAGAGAGAGGGAAATTTCAGAATGAACCGAAAGATCATGTGAAATAGATCAAACAAATATTAATGTGAAGAACCCCATATACCAGAAGTTTACCTGAAGTAGGAGTCCTCACACGAGAAGCTGTTCCTTCAGATGTTGGGGATTTCTGCCATGTACGTCTCTGGAAACTCTCCGTTGGGCTTCCATCCTCAGATGCATAGGTTGATTCATGTTTAATATCTGATCCATAATTCCTGCTAATTCCACCAGAAAACCAACTTATCGAAGTATCTTCCCCAGCTACTCGCCCTCGATTATCCCATCTAAAGCTCCAAGATGGTGAATAAAGAATATTTCTATGCAAGATGTCACCACCTGGTCCACTTACTATATTTTTATCTCTAGCAGCAACACAACAAGCACCTCCCATGCTCAAACGCAAACAAAAGGTGTCTCCAAATTCTAACACGAACCCAAAATCTTCAATCACGTGCTCCAACGTCCAAACAACGGCAACTCAAATTTCACTACCATCACTCTCAGCGGGCAAAACCCAGGTCCAATTCTTCCTCTGCAATTAAAACAGGCAAACAAAATAGAGCACCAATATTAATCACTAGTAATTTCACATCTAGCTCTCTGAAAACACAAAATCCAACACACCACATACGCATAACTGAAAAAACAAAAGAAAATGATCAATAACAACCAAACTCCTCTAATCTTTCACAGAGAGCACACTTTGATGATCTAAAGCTAAATTTAACCGCAAAGTTGTTGCACCTCAAGAACCCAAGTGACAAAAGTAATATCCAGTGATTAAAAATTGGGTTTCAACTCGCCACCCGCGCTTTTAAATCCATTTCCATCACCAAAAACGCATAGCCAAAATCATTTCAACACGCACAAAAATAAAAAGTTCATATAAAAGACTACTAAAACAAATAGAACATTAATGGGTGTTGAGAATTCTAGAGGCAGCAATTAAGAAAATTCCAAGTCAATTTTAGTTTTTAAAATAGTAGTCAATGATGAACCAATTACCAATAATTCAGTTCACACTAGCTGATTTCCGAAAAAAATAACTAAAGAAATTAAAAGGAACACGGAAATTGAATCGCCTAACTAACTCGTAAACTAAGGACTCTCGCTCCAAATCCGAAAATAATAATAATAATACAAACCACAAAACTTGATGATAATTTAAAAAAAGCTGTACTGAGTAGTCAAATTTGTAAGAACAATTCAAAATCCGAAACCGACTTGATCGAGAGAGGCTATCCTTACCTTGGTCAGAGGAAAGACGACAGCGTTTTAAAACGACAGATAGATTCTAGAGAGAGAGATGCGGAGCGGTTTTTAGAAAGAGAAAATGAAAGGAAGAGAGTTACGCTGCTGGTGCCTCTACTTGCAAGGAGGGGGGGGGCGGGGCGTCTTTTACCGGTTTCATGTGGACGACGTTAGAATTTGTTAACAGGATTCGACGGTTTGTATTTTGACGGTGGTGGTATAATTATTTTTCATCTTGTTCGCGGTAAAATTTTAAATGAAAATCAAAGGGTAAAATATATCTGGACTTAGAAAAAATTAATATTTCCTGAATTACAAAATCTTTTATTTTTCCTTTTAAGTATATATTTTAAAATTTATTCCTTTTATTGGAATTTCATTGAGAAATTGATGAAAAAACCTTTAAACATCCTTTCAGTTTCTTGCATGTTTTCCTAAGCTAGTAGAGAAAGGGATAGGAACTGGGAGTATTTTATGGTTCTTCCATCAATTTCTCAACAAAATCCTATGGTCTTCCAAACAATAATTGGTATTTTCAATTACTTGAGTGGTAATAATAATAAATAAATAAATAAATAAACTTCGTAATGATATTTACATTAATTGCATATTTATAAGAATTGATTACATCCCACGTATACATTTGAGTCTAAATCGCGATGAAATAATAAAAGGAACGGGCGTCACCGTCAAATCAAGAGCCTTTTAAAAATGCTACAGTAAATTGAGAGTGTAAATAGATAACATGTCACGGGGGTGTTTGGAGTAGGGCAACGATTTTTTTAGTATGGATATGTTAAAATAATTTTTTATTTGGAATAAGCTGATCTTGTTTGAATTATATTTTAAAAAAAAGATAGTGATGGCAAGTAAAAAATATATATAAAAATGATAACATAAAATTTTTTTATTTAATTGAGTATGTTTAATGAATTCGTTTATTAAAATCAATTTATAATAAAAATTGACACACAAATAAATTTATGGGATAAAAAAATATTATGTACTATTCTATATATTAAAAATATAATTAAAAAATAAATATTTGATGTATATAAAATATAAAAAAATACAAATGAATCATTTTGGCTTCTTAAAAAATTAAACACACAATTATCATGAGAAAAAGCTAAAAAAATAAAAAATAACAAAGAAGAGATATTAATTGAAGCATAAATTCAAACAAAAATAAAAAAAACATGTAAAAAAAGGATATTATTAAAAATAAAAAAACAAAAAAGAATTGACATGAAAAAAAAATACACTATTGATAAGAATTGAAAAATAAAAATAAAAATATAAAATTATAAGAATAAGGATCAAGTTGAAAAACCGTTGCAGGATTAAAAAAAAATAAACATATAGAATTTTTCATTGTTACTTTTTGTATAAAAAAATAATAAATATAAATTAAAAAAAAACTTATAAACCATTCTAAATAAAATAAATAATAAACTATTGTGTAAATAAATAAAAATAAAATCATTACCAATATATAAAAACATAATTAGAAAAAATTAAGAGAATTAAAATATTTAATATCATTGTTTATTAAAATTATTTTATATAAAAAATCAACGCACGTGAAGCTTGTTGAATAAAAGAAAAGAAAAGTATATTATGAAAGGTTTTACGTGTTAAAAATATTATAAAATTATTTAATTTATATAAAATATATTAAAAAATACAAACGAATCATATTAACCATTTTAAAAAATAAATATGCCTGATTTAATAAAAAAACAAATTACTATTTAAAAAGGTAAAAAAAATTAAAGAGAATGGTATCAACTAAAACATAAATCAAAAAAGTTATATTTAAAAATATAAAAAGTGTTAACTAAAAATTGTAATTTTTTTTAAAAAAATAATCAAAAATTATTCAACCTAGCAAGCCAAGTTAAGTATATCACTTGTCAAGAAGAGCCCGGTGGTGTAAGGATTTTTATTTTTATTTTTTAATTTAATGGGACAATCCAATTATTAAAAATTAAATAAATAATATATCATTTAAAACTCCTAGAATGCAACAGCTAGTGTAGCAAGGAAAATAGAGTTTCTGATTTTCTCATCCAAAAACCAATCTTAACCATTTTTTTCAATCCAAAAACACATGGAAAAACATTACAGGAGCATTGTTAAATCAATTAATGGTCTCTAAAAGCACAAAAACTTGTTCTATAACCCAAAATCAACCAAAAAAATAAAAACACTTAATCTTAACTTCCTCTTTATATGAAATCACTCAACATAAAAATTAATTATTTTAATGATTGAAGTTGTCACCAATGATAATTCTTCGTTTTAATGTTGGAATCTAGTGACGCTTCCTTTCTCATCTACCAAGAAGATATTATGAAGAAATTAAATTCATTTATTTTTTTAACTTTTAAAAATATCTCAAAACCGCTCCCACATAACATGTGTATTTTTCACTTTATTTGTCTTTCTTTTAACTCAACCATTCATTTAAAAAAAAAATTAATTGATCTCGAATTTAGTTTTAAAATAGTCCAATCATGCTAAAAATATAAAATAAAAAATAAAATCAAAGATTAAAATATTTTTTTTAAAAAATATATTATCACAGCCCATAGTAAATTACAATAAAAAACAATAAAAAATGCTATAATATTTTATCCAGGAGCTTTAGTTTTTATGAATAATTCTATCACATAAATCTAACTCCTGGATTTATATATATAGATATATAAAAAAAAATCTAAAACAGTGAATGATGATGAAAAGGAAAAAAACAGAGCATGTCATTGGTGAGAATCACTAACGGCAGCTAAACGATTGCTTTTTTATTTTTTTTTTAAAAATATTTTAGGGTTTTTCAAGAGAAAGAAGAGAGACGGCAGCTAAACGATTGCTTTTTTTATTTTTTTTAAAAAAAGATTTTAGGGTTTTTCAAGAGAAAGAAGAGAGTTGATATCAATTAAAATACAAATTAATTAATCTTTTTAATATCTGGCACTGCTCGTCTAATATCCTTGACGAAAAACAAAAACACACAAAAGCGAGGGCCCGCTAATGGCAGGGAGAAAGAATCTTGAATCAGAGACCTCTGGATGCTTGAAGAATTTAGGAAAGAAGGGAAAACAAGGGAATATGTTGATGAAAAAAAAAGAAAAGAAAATGGAGGAATAGACGGCAGATACGGCGGGGGGGGGGGGGGGGGCGGTGATGCCTTCTGCAGTACGCGAAGTGCGCAGTACGCATTCGATTCTTTTCACGCTGCAAGAAGAAAGTAAAAATGGTGGGGTTAAAATCCTCTCCTTCCTCCACATTTCCTCTTACTTAATCACAAAATTAAATTAACTTTTAGCCTTTAATTTGGATTCCTCGATGGCCTGAGTTATTTTTCTCAAGATTTTTAAAGTCGAGATTGAGATTCTGTGAACTAATTATATTTTGAAAATTTTTATTTCTTTATTTTCAAATTATTTTTTTATTTTTGAATATAATATGAAAAATAAATTCTAAAAATTTATTTTAATACATTTCTAAACTAAAAATATTTTAAAAATCAATACTTCCCTCTACCGAATTCTTAAATAAACACTCTTAAATAAAAAAATATATTTGAAAATAAACTCTCAAATACTTCCGTAACATTGGTCTCTGCTCTGCTAGTGACGTCAGTTAACAAGAAATTTTGTGGCACAGCAATGACTTTCAACTGGTGGTTAGAGACGGAGGGGGAAACGTAGCAAACAAACCGTCTAACATTTTGACTCGTGCACGTAAATGGCAAAAGGTTGGTTGATAATGTGGTTCAACCTTTTGTATTGCTTATTACTAGCACAGAGTCAAGAATGAGTGGACTTTTAACGACAAGCTTGTTAATGGGATACCACATATACCCTCCAAATTTGTCCAACTTGCCCAGTCAAGAGGGATAGAAACGACTTTATTGAACACTTGGGTTTAGAATCTGGGCATGCAAAGCAAGCTTCCGGGCAAGGTCTCTGTCAAGCTGGTGGAGTGTGGTGCTTGGAGACGCTAAATTAATCACATAATTAATATTAAAAATCTAAATCAAAGGGGATTAGGTGAGTCACCTTTGCCTAAGTGTTTAGGTTGCAGCTCTCTTATACTGTGATCATGAGCTATTTGAGAGTGACTGGGAGTGTTGTAATAATTGTCTTTTAAAGTATTTTTTTTTATGAATCTATCAAAATAATAGTTTTTTTTTAAATATCATGATTTGAAAAAATTAAAAAAATAATTTGAAGTAAAAAATAAATTATGAATCTATTAAAATAATAGTTTTGTTTTAAATATCATGATTTGAAAAAAATAAAAAAATAATTTGAAGTAAAAAATAAATTAATTTTTTTCAAAAAATTTAAAACGTAAAAACAACGAAGTCTTTTATTGTAGAAAAAATATAAAGCATGAAACATTAATTACTTTGATGGACTGGTGAAGATCGACCGATCATGTTCACGGGGGATTTCTCCCCGGGCAAATTCCGGTGACATGCATGACGACCAAAGCTTGCAGCATTACCAAAATCTAACACCACCCGTTCTCTTATCTTTCCTTTTTATGAACCCTATGCATGGATATTATTCTGGACATCCATTGTACCATATGAAAATCAGGCAAGTTGAGGACGGAGACGTGTATGAATT